ACCAAGTTGGTTTCCATATAACACCCAGTGCTCATCCCAACAAGTACCCTCCTCCATACCCATCACCCCCGCTTCTTCAATCCATTTTTACCAGTCCATTTCACCAGTGTGATCCCTTTAAAAAGACATTAGTCTGGGGCGCCTGGGTGGCTTAGTCGGTTGGGCGTCCGACTTTCGCTTAGGTCATGATCTCGCAGTTCGTGGGTTCGAGCCCCGCGTCGGGCTCTGTGCTGACTGCCAGCTCAGAGCCTGGAGCGTGTTTCAGTCTGTGACTCCCTCTCTCTCTGACCCTCCCCTGCTCATGCTGTCTCTCTCTCTCTCTCTCTCTCAGAAATAAATAAAACATAAAAAAAAAAAAAAAAAAAAAGACATTAGTCATTTGCTCAAAATCCTTCAGTATCTTCTCAGTCTCACTCAGAGACAAAGCCAAAACCTTAAGATGAACCTTAACAGTCTGCCATCCTATCCTCACTCTTCTTGTTCTGACCTTTCCTCCTAGTGTTTGGTTTCTACAATTCAAAAAGGAACAAAGAGAAGTTTCATAAACTGAACCTACTACTGTTTCCCTTGCTGTGTTCTCTCTGGACTCCTTGCTGTTCCTCAAACATATGAGGGTCTGGGTACCTGTTGTTCTACTGGGAACACAACTCCTCTACATACCCACACGGCTTACCCCAGCTTCTTCAGACCTTTACTTCTCAGGGGGTTTTCCCTATTCTTACCCACAGCACCTATCAACATCTAATATATTACGTATTTTATTTACTTTGTTAATAAGAAAGAGGGAGAGAATCTCTTTTCTCCATCTCGTTCACTGATTCTCAAATCTGAGTCTGCATTAGAATCATCTGAAAGTCTTGTTAAAACAATTTCTGAATGGGGGATGGGGTGGGTGTTAAGCCTGAAAATCTGCATTACTAACAAGTTCCCAGATGATGCTGATGCTGCAGATCCAGGGACATTTTGAGAACCAACATTTTAGAATGTAAGCTTCTCCAGGACAGAGCTTTTTGTCTGTCTGTTTTCTCTCTACAACCTGGTTCAGAGTCAGCAGTGAGATAAGTAAATGATAAATAAGTAAATTTAGATGTCCCTGCTCTATTCCCATCTACACCCTCTGATTTGGTCTGCCCTATGGGGCTAAAAATTTACTCAACACTGTAAAAGATAAATGTGACGGGGCGCCTGGGTGGCTCAGTCGGTTGAACGTCCAACTTCGGTTCAGGTCATGATCTCACAGTCCGTGGGTTCAAGCCCTGTGTGGGGCTCTGTGCTGACAGCTCGAGGCCTGGAGCCTGCTTCTGATTCTGTGTCTCCCTCTCTGCCCCTCCCCTGCTTGTGCTCTGTCTCTCTCTGCCTCTCAAAAATAAACAAATATTAAAAATTAAAAAAAAAAAGATAAATGTGACCTATTTGGAAATGGGGTCTTTGCAGATGTAATCAAGTTAAGATGAAGTCATCAGGGTGGACCCTAAGCCAATATGATTGGTGTCCTTATAAGGGAGGATGTCATATGAAAAGACACAAAGAAAGAATGGAATGGAGTGATAGAGTGGCAAGTCAAGGAACATAAAAGACTGCCAATGACACAAGAAGCTCAGAGACCTGAACAGATTCACCCCTAGAACCTAGAGACCATGGCCCTGCTAACATCTGATTTCAGACTTCTAGCCTCAAGAACTGAGTTGATGAATCTCTGTGGTTTTATTTTATTTTTTTTAATTTTAATACTTTTTATTTCCGAGAGAGAGAGAGAGACAGCGTGAGCAGGGGAGGGTCAGAGAGAGGAGACACAGAATCTGAAACAGGCTCCAGGCTCTGAGCTGGCTGTCAGCACAGAGCCCGACGCGGGGCTTGAACCCACAAACCGAGATCATGACCTGAGCCGAAGTCAGATGCTTAACTGACTGAGCCACCCAGGCACCCCGAATTTCTGTTGTTTTAAATCACCTAGTTTGCCATACTTTGTATGGCAGCCCTAGGAAAATAATACAAAGACCAAAAAAGCAAATTACTACACCAAACCATATATAATTTCAAATTTGGCTACTATCTAATTTCTACCAGTTCACATGCTTTAATATATAGCTTTAGTTGTAAACTAATCAGGTTTCCTGTTTCAGAATCTCTCCCACCTAATATTGCCTTTTCCTGACTTCAGTGTGTCCCTTCAATGTGCAAGGCTGCCAATACTACAGGTTCTAGATAATTTATTCAGATTGTTTGGTTTCTCCTACTTTCTTATGGTTATTTCTATTTCTCGATTATCAATTGATTTATATTTTTTCTCTGAAGAAACTTCTTTTTTTAACACATTACAGATTTGGTATGTATTTTCTACTTGGTCATTTGAATTAGTTGCAAATTGAAAATTTAAGTACACATTAAGATATACATTTAGTTTTTAAGATAAAACGCTAACTACTCTTTTGTAGAACAATCCTCCTTTTCTTTCTTCCTTCTTTTAAAAGAATGGCCTTAAACTGTAATGAATTTGGAGCAAAAAAGTTGTGTCACACTTTTCTTTCCATTTTGCGTCTTTATTCAAATCTCAACAAATCTTCTAAAAGTAACATCGATGTATTAGGAAACTTAAAATTTTAAATGAATGTGAAATAAATTTCACCAAGTTGTCCCTTTTCCATTTAACATTTGTTTACAGCTACAATGTCACAAGAATTCCTATCAATAATTTCATCACACAAAAGCTCTATTTTAAATTACCATGGTTTACGAAGTCTATAAGCTGTAAAATGCAATTTTTATCTTAGGGACCAAAAGTCAATATACAAATAGTAACCAGCATATGCCTAAATGACACCCTTTTGTATTTCTATGACTGAGTGAAAATTAATTCATTATATGTACTACTAAATAAGTTTGTGATAAAATTCTAAGAATTTCTGGATATTAAATTTACTCAGAAACACAATCTAGTATAATCTATACAAAAAAGCATATTTAAGAAAAACTGCATCTATCCTTAAATGAGTATTAACCACAAAATATTTTTAAACGCTGAAGCCTAAATAAAAAGATACAGAAACATACAAATTACAGGCATATTTAAGAGAGATATTTAATAGTTCTCCACTAGTACTGAAAAACCATGCTCTTTTCCTATAAAGATTTTAAGTGAGTCATACTTTCCTTACTAAATCACTGTTTTACTTAACATATGGTGAAAAGAGTTAACTGTTTGGTAACTTGAAATTTTATATTCACTTAAATTGCACATCAATATATACTAGCTAGTGGGAAACAAATTAAGTGTAGTTTACCACATACAATTCTCAGAACACACGGCATCATGTGCATAAGGCTCACTTGACAGTTGTCCGATAGGGTAGGGAAAGTTGTTTAAATATCTCCTAAAAATTCAGTTCCCACTGTCTAACCTTCGCCAGAATTAAACAAGTTGAACTCCACAACCCTTGTTCCTGGCGCCCAGGCCCAGCTATCCATATCCTGCGCTTAACTTTTAGTAAATGAACATATTTCTGTCCAGGTCACGTTGGCCTAATTATTCACTTTAATGTGTTAAAGTTCTACCTTTATAACTAACTTTTTAATTCATACCGAAGTCCCGTCATGATTAGCCTAATAGTTTCCAACCTGAAAAGCGTTAAAAAGATACACTACAGTATCTATAACGAATTTAGAAAACTAGATTATAAATCCAATCTTTTCCAGAGCATGTGGTGCTTTCTTATTATTTAAGAAGAATAATGAGACGAGAGTAAGAACTAGGGAAGAATAAATCCCTACTCCCAAATTACATTCTTCTTTTAAGAGTATATAATTTATCCAAATTCGAAGCCGTATGGCCAACTTGTCAGCACCTACTACTCTCACACTCGCAAGGGGGTGCGGGGGGCGGAGAAATAAACTCTTCGCCTCCTTCTCTACGCAGCGAGTGAGCCAAACACACCTGGCTAGCTCTTTCTGCCAGAGGCAGTGAAATTTTAAAAAATAAATCAGCCACGAACCTGATGATCCAAGAAAGCCCCGAGGAAGTCCCCCGGCACTCGAGGAAGACGCTCGCTCGCCCGGCACTCGCGCTGCCCGGCAGCCCGACGGCTCCCGCGGAAGGTGGCCACACCTGAGCCCCGAGTCCCGCCCGACCCACGGGTCGCGGGTGGGGGGGGGCGGGGAGGGGAGGGCCCCGCGGGCAGGACCGCTAAGTGGTCCCGCCGCGACCGCGACGCAGCTCGCGCCTCACTGCCGCCGCCCGACGGCGGGCGGCGCGCGAAGAGGAGGTGAGGGGCACCACAGCGCAGAAAGGAAGAACCCACCACGAAGAGGAGGCTACTCGTCAACAAAATAGCGGCCCGGTGGGCAGGCGGCCCCAATGGCAGTTCACAGTGGCGCCGGGAGCAGGAAGTACCCCGCGCCTCCCTCAGCAGCTCGCAAGTCTCCAGCCCCGGCGGCGACCCCGAGACACCTGTTTGGCTGCGCCCGGGTTTGGTGCCACCCTCCACGCTCCCCCAAAAACACACTCCGAGCGGGGAGGACGAGGGGAGCCGAGACCTTGGACCCGCAGCCTGAGGGCGCCTCCGCCGGCCGTACCTGACAGAAGCCGCGGCTGCCTCTCGCCCCTCCTGGGGGGCGGAGAGGGGAACGACAGGAGACCGGCAACCTTAGCTCCTCCCGGCACCCGCAGAAGTGGCTCGTGGCCGCTAGCGGGGGCCGCCGGCTGCCGCCCAGATTATTCCCTGGCGGCGGCGGCGGCGGCGGCCGAGGCGGGCCCAGCTCGCGCTCCCGCCCGCTCGCTCCGCCCCTCCCCGCAGCGCGTCCAGGCCGCGGCCCGCCGACGGCGCAGCCGCCACCCAGGGGTCTCCTAGCGCTGACGTCTCCGCCGCCGCACCAGCCCCGGGGAAGGGCGGAGCGAGGGGGGCAGGGTGGGGCGGGATCATGGCGACGTGCGGGCGCAGGGATTGGCCGCCAAGCTCACGCCCCGCCCTTCTGCGAAGGGGTCTGGGAAGTCGGGTCTTCTGCGAGCCGGAGTCGCTGCCCACTTGCGGCTCCTCGCTGCTGGCCTTCTCCTTCCTGGTCCTTCTATAAGGTTTTACAGCAGCTTCCGGACCTTGAGAGAGACTAAGCAGTGAAACTGCAGGGACTGAGGCTGGAGATACCTGAGGGACCTCTGTGTGAGGGACAGGCTCTAAGCCTGCAGAAGTCTTTTGGCCTCCAGCCTGCTTCCCGTTCTTTTTTCTCCAGTCCCCCACTCTCCCACCCACCCCGAACTCTCTGTACTCAGTATCTCTCAGTCCTTAATGAAAGGAAATACAGCAAGATGAGGTATGCAAACGGGTGCTGGGTAACCAGATGTGTGAACCCGGAAGGGTTGAAAACAGTGGTACCACAAAGCCTTCTGTAGTTCGGTTCTGTCATTACTTCAGTGCTGTCTGGCAATAACAGGAAGAGCTTCCTTAGGGCTTTGTAAAACTCATCTTTCTTTTCGTTGGCCCAAGGACGTTGAATCAGAAAGCTGCTTTTCGATTAGACGGAGAAGCCTGTGAATCATTGAGTCAACCCCACGGCAGCCAGGAGGTGGGGATAAGGTCTTGGCTTTAACCATCACCTACAAGGCCTTAACTTGAGGGTGAGAAAGCTGCCCTTCTTTTAAACGCCTTCCTCAGTCAGTTCTTCAGTGCCTTTCCCATAGCCTTTAAAATTCTTTTTTTTTTTTTAATGTTTTATTTATTTCTAGGAGAGAGAGAGAGACAGCATGAGCAGGGGAGGGTCAGAGAGAGAGGGAGTCACAGACTGAAACAGGCTCCAGGCTCTGAGCTGGCAGTCAGCACAGAGCCCGACGCGGGGCTCGAACCCACGAACCGTGAGATCATGACCTAAGCGAAAGTCGGGTGCTTAACTAAGCCACCCAGGCGCCCCTCCCATAGCCTTTAAGAGTGTGGGCTCTGGGATGGAATCTTGGTTCCTCCTATTTGCTGTGCAACCTTAGCAAGTTACTTAACATGTCTGGGAGAAATAAGGAGCAGTGTATGTAAGTTGTTCTTTTTCCTTTAATTTGTTTAGATTCAGTTCTACTATAGTTTGCCCTGATATGCCGTTAATAGATCCAAAAGAATCTTAGAAAAGAATTGAAGGACATCTAGCGGTTCTTATTTAAATCTTTTATTTTTCAGATGAGAAAACTAAGGTCCGAAAAACTGATAGACCCATGCTAGAAGTGCACGTGTTCTGATGTTCAGGTTAGTACTTTTTCTCTGGCTCATCCATCCAGATTTCTTTCCCTGAGACCCTTGCTTGTGTCCTCTTCTCTCTTTCCCAACCTGTGTATAGTTAATTGCCCAGTCTCACCGCCTTTCTTTCCACAACTACTGTAAAACAGGAAAAGGAGACCTTTCCAGAGGTCATAATGTTCCAAATGGAAAGCAAAACAAAAACTCAAGATACCTTACGTCATTTTAATTTTATTGAAAAAAAAGTTTACTTGTATTGAAATGTTTAATGAGTAAGAAATAACTTTGCTTTTTCCATTGAGCAAAGATAAGAAACCCTTCCAGAGATAGGTTCAGCCATAGCATGTCTAAGAAAATTACTGGCAGGAAGTAATAATGATATGAACAAAAACTAGATCAAGTCAGCCCCTCCCATCCTGTTGGGTATTTTCGAAAATAGCTGTTATTTGCATGAAAACAGTACATAGTTATTCAAACAAATACAAAAAAAAATCCACAGATAACCATTTTATAAAATGTTTGTTACATTCTTCCAGATATAAAGAATAAAAAACACATAAAGACATAAAAATACAATATTTCATAAACTGGATCTTATTATGTATATAGTTCTTTTCTCACTGAACAGTATATCATGATTAACATCATTTTTTTTTTTAATTTTTTAAATGTTTTTTATTTATTTCTAGGAGAGAGAGACAGCGTGAGCAGGGGAGGGTCAGAGAGAGAGGGAGTCAGATTGAAACAGGCTCCAGGCTCTGAGCTGGCAGTCAGCACAGAGCCCGACACGGGGCTCGAACCCACGAACCGCGAGATCATGACCTAAGCGAAAGTCGGACGCTTAACCGACTAAGCCACCCAGGCGCCCCGATTAACATCATTTTTAAAACTTGCATTGCCCATTAAATGGATGTACCATTATTTATCTAATCAGTTTTCTATTGATATTTTGTTTTTTTACCAAATTTTTAATATTGTAAACAACTCTTTGATGGACTTCCTTATGCACCTACCTTTGCACAACTGTATCTCCTTGCATGGATTCTGAGAAGTGACATTAATGTCAGCCAATTCTTCAATGTTATCAACTAGAAAAAAGAAAGTTGTGGTTACTTTTGAAAAATATATTTTATATATGAGACTCCCAGTGACTAGATTCTCCCATTTGAAACAAATAAATCTTGGACAGTATGTTTGTTTGTCTAGTGTGGTGTTTCAATAATGTGTGTTAAAGCTCGTTGGAGCAGAATAATGTGCGTTGAGGCTCCTTGAAGCAGGGTTTAGACACTGCTGGTTGTGTAAAGCAAAATGCTTTCTTCCTTACTAGCAGAACTCTGATTTTTTTTTTCAGGGTGATGGTGTGTCTAGTTAAAAATATTTACTTCTCCAGATTTTGATAAGCCATGGCTGGCCGTGTGACCCATCAAGAAAATGAAAATGGATATTGCTAGGAGAGGCCCAATGTTTTATGGAAGAAATGCCCTTTTAGCCATTGGACCTATACTTATGTTTTTTTCTTACCTGGAACAGTGACATGATGCTGGAGGTGGAGTAACCATATTTCAACCATAATAACCAAAGCCTCACAGTATTAATAGTGTAGGAAGCCAAAGGTTCCAGAGCTTGTGACTGCTTTGCAGGGCCAGCTGATTAGCTCTGGATGGCCTATTTCTAGATTTGTTGTTATGTGAGGGAAAATAAATCCCTCCTACTTAAGGTTTTGTTGTTTGGGTTTTCTGTTATACGCACTGAATACAATTCCAAATTGATACAAGATAGGACAAGTCATAATTTATTTCGCACTGTGTGTAGAATTTTTTAATAGAGTGAAATAAAAATAAGGACACAAAATGGAAACAAACAGCAACCATAAAGAAATTACTCTCTAATACACTTAGTTTTCCTTAAAATACCTACATGTTATAATGAGATTAACAAATCATTTTGTAAGAAGTAGATTAACTTCTGTAAATTAAATTATATTCACTGATATAGTGGCTTTTAAATATATCCACAAGTTCTTTGATGCTTCTTCCTACAAAAGGTGGAACTGAATTTCTCTCTCTTTGAGTTTGGACTGTGTTTAGTGACTTGTTCTCATGAATAGAATGTAGAAATAATGTAGTGTGAGTTTATAGAGAAGATCATAAAGCATATGCCAGTTTTTTTCTTCTCTCTCTGGGATTGCTTGCTGAGGAAAGATGGTTGTCAAGTCACAAGACTCTCAGAGGCAACTTTTTTTTAATTTATTTTTTTTAACATTTGTTCATTTTTGAGAGAGAGGGGGGAGGAGGGGCAGAGAGAGAGGGAGGCACAGAATCCGAAGCAGACTCCAGGCTCTGAGCTGTCAGCACAGAGCCCAATAAGGGGCTTGAACTCATTGACAGTGAGATCATGACCTGAGCTGAAGTCGGATGTTTAAACGACTGCACCATTCAGGTACCCCTCAGGCAACTGTATAGAAAGACCCACATTATAAGTAATAAAGACTTCCGGCCACTGAGGAACCAAGGACTCCTGACAATAGCCATGTGAGTGAACTTGGAAGCACATGTTCGAGCGCCCTAGTCAAGCCTTCAGATGACCGCATCCCTCATCAACATCTTTACTGACCTTAGGAGAGACCCTGAGCCAGATCCACTCAGTTAATCTGCTCCCAAATTCCTGGCCCACAGAAACTATAGCATAATATATGTTTGCTGTTATAAGCCATGAAATTTTGGGATAAATTGTTATGCAGCAAAGATAACTAATACAGCTGGGTATAATAGAGCCTAGCACAATGGGTGCCACATTCGCAGGTGTTTAATGATTTGTTGTTTGAATGAATAAGCAATTCAATGAAGTAGAATAGATCTTTTACACTTTAAAGGATTACATTAGGGGCACCTGGGTGGCTCAGTCGGTTGAGCGTCTGACTTCGGCTCAGGGCACGATCTAGCGGTTCGTGGGTTCCAGCTCCACATCGGGCTCTGTGCTGGCAGCTAGCTCAGAGCCTGGAGCCTGCTTCTGATTCTGTGTCTCCCTCTCTCTCTGATTCTCCCCTGCTCACGCACTCTCTCTCTCTCTGTCTCTCAGAAATAAATAAAACATTAAAAATTTTTTAAATAATATATAAATTAAAAATAAAGGGTTATATAAAATGCTGGTGTTATCTTTGATCCCTGGCATCTGTATTATATAAGGTCTTTGTGCATGACCATAAAGAAGTCACCTGTGAATCTTACTGCAACGTAAACATAGGTAACCCTGGGGGAAACATACAGTGAATGGAGCAGTGGAACCCTAGAGACTTACCACAGTCCCAGTTTTATCACTGATTAACTTAGAGGCCTGTGGCAAGTCACCTAAACTCTCTAAATCTCAATTTCCCTCTCCATAAATTGGGGGGAAATAATCCCAACCTGCCTTAAAAGGTGATTAATCACATTATGTGTGACTATAATTGAAAAGCATTGACATTCTTTTAATTACATTAGGCTCATGAGGTCTATCCTATTTTATTTTCAAGCAATTAAGCATTAAATATTTTAGGTTTGTACACCATGAAGAGTTTTCTTTCAAGAGGTGATAACTTATTACTGATTTTACTGTGTACATTTATAAAATATTAGCATCATTCATAGTAAGCAGTAAGATTTAAGAGTATGGCAGGAGGGTAGGTTATTATATGTCAGATCTCATTTTATTAGCCTGTTGAAAATTTATTGCACTTTAAAAAGAATACATAATTATGACTGCCTCCTTTTCCTTTTCATGAATTAATTTGTAATTGCGGTTGGGTGTGTGCCCCTCTTTGTGGTAATAGTGGTAGTTAAGCATACGTAGTAATAAACATACATTTAACCAATAATTTGGTCTAAGAGTTTATCTTAGAGCAAAATTGCACCCAACAGCAAGAAAATAAATGATAGAATATTTATCTTGCTCTTTCAGTGAGGAAGACTTGGGCACACAGGGAAGTCTTTATAAAATGGAACAACAGAGGTTATGCAGTTATCGATAATACGCAGTTTGGTGGATAACCCCAGAGGCGAATATGTGAAGATGAGTAAGATAAAGCTTTAGTGTAAGATTCAAGTTCTGGTTATATAGTGGATGAATTATCTAAACTCCATAGTTTTGTTATATTGTTCTTTCTTGCTTTCTGGTCTTCAGTATGACCCCAAATCAGCTGTAACTACTGGCTTAACTAAATACCAGGTTATTTGGAGTTGTAGATGACCCCTGTACTTACCACCTTTATTAACTTGAGTAGGAAGAGGAACTCTAAAAAAAAAAAAAGGACAGATCTCTCTTTTGTGGAGAGAGTGTGCTTTTAAATAGGGCTTCTCGTTTCATATTGAAACTACCTGCCAGGGGGCACTTGGGTGGCTCAGTTTGTTAAGGACCAGAATCTTGATTTCAGCTCAGGTCATGATCTCATGATTCATGAGTTTTCACTCTCGCCCCTCTCTCTCTGCCTCTTCCCTGCTTGCTCTCTCTCTCTCTCAAAATAAATAAATAAACTTAAAAAAGAATAAAAATAAATCTTTAAAAAAAGAGAAGACAAAATACCTGCCAGGATAAAGTACTTTCATCATATGGAACTATGGAAAAGAGCATTTCTAAACAGTTTCTATTTCTCGCAGCTACATTTTCACAAAATCTGCCAAGATTTTGAGACAGTTGGAAAGGCTAGAGTTCTTTTCTAATTGATTGACACATAAAAGGAATAAAGGTGAAGAATGGAGCAGAGGAGGTGATAAAGGAAAAAAAGTTTAGGAAATACTTTTAACCTCACAGGAAGAGGACTCAGCATGTCTCACAACATATTAGCTTGAAAGCAGAGACTGCCATTGTCACACTGAGTAACTTGTGTCATCTGGAGTAAGATTCTCAATTTATGAGATTGGGCTTTCTGGGATCACTTCCCCTGTGTTCCTCTAGTTCCCTGGAAGAAGAATCAGAATATTCCTTCATTATTTTCCCTCGTGGATCAACAAAAGCAGAAAACGTTTGTTGTGAGT